ACTCTGGTCATCAACTCTGGTTTTCAGTTGAAATTGGAATTGTTAATTTACGCAATAATAGGATTGCATTGACGATTTTTTCTCAACTCGCAAAAATCTTCAAACAATTTGCTATCGATTGGTCATAAATTTTTTTGGAAATAATGAAATAGAGGGGATAACGCCTTTTTTTTCAGAGGTGATTTTTCAAAAATTTATTTAAAAAAAAGTACTAACTAGCAAATGTTTTTTATCAGCTCGCGATTTTCTTCAAAACTACTTCAATGAGGAAAAAAATAAAAATTTGGAATATCTATACATGAGGGGCTAATTGATCGGATCTCCGTCCTCACATCCCATTGACTCAAAAATCCAACCCCCCGCGCGGCGATCGCATTGTATTCCCCCAGCTCCGCCAATGTAACCCCCCGCCCTCTCCGACCAATCGCCCGCCGCTCCCCACACGCACCCAACCCCCGACAACGCGGTGGGGAGTGCGTACGCCGGGCAGAATGCTACCAAACACGAGGGAGTGAGTACGCCTCAAAATTTTCGTGTTCCCCGTGGCTGACGTCACACTAATCTCATTCCCTCACAGTTTCCACCGAAAAAAGCGTTGAACCGCTGTCTTCCGCGTCCCCTCCCCGCCGCGGGGATGCCTCTAGTCCCCTGAATCCGCGATTCCTCAATCGTCAACGGCCATCGGCTTCGCCAGCACCGACGAAAAATCAAATTAACAAGTAAACATTTCGCCATCGGAGAGGGAGAAAAAAAAGTTGAAGGAACGCTCGCGTCTCGGTCACATTCCCCTCTCCCGTGCACAAATATCTCCGTCTCCCTTCATCGTCGCCTGTGCTCTCGCGCGTGTGTTGTGTGTGTGTGGGTGCGTGTGTGCTGTGCTCAGTGTTTTTTTCCCGCAGTCTCCACTCATAAGCATACGCCAGTATTTATTATTGCCGCTGTTGTTATTATTATTCGTGAAAGATTGCGCGCAGCGCCATTCGGTGATTGTTGTTGGACGTTTGTTTTGCTCGGCGAGGTGAGGGTTTTCGGGGCATTGTTATCGGCGCATTGATACCGGGATTTATTGTCGGTTTGGGGGAATAACAACAACACAAGTGGACGAAAAAAAAATGGACGCCCTGCGAGAGCAGGTGATGATCAATCAATTCGTGCTGGCCGCGGGTTGCGCTAGGGAACAGGCGAAACAATTGTTGCAGGCCGCACATTGGCAGTTTGAGGTGAGTTATGGGTACTATTTTTTTTTCTCACTGGGACGATTGTTTAGTTTATCGGGGGGCACTTTCGATCTCTGCGGCTCGGGCCTCTCTCTCGCTCGCTCGGGCTTTGTTGGGGTTACGGACAGAGCCGCGACGATTCTCGTACGTAAACAAAGCCGTAAAATGGCCGACGAGTCGATCACCAGGAGTACACGGTTTTACGATTTTTTGAGGAGGAGAATAAAAATAGGCGGTGAGTCGCCGATGAGGGGCTTTCTGCGGTTGAGGGGCGAGGGGGTTTGGGGGATTTATGTAATGATTGTCGGGGACTGACGGGATTAATGGGAGTTTGGAGGACGGGGGACTGCAAGGAAGAAAAATTTGGTAGAAAAACTTGCGAATTCGGGGGACGATTCTGATGGATTTCTGTTGAACTTTCTGTTGAGGGGTTAAGAGCCACATGAGTCAGGGGATGACCAAGGCCTTTTGGAAATTGAACGCAATTCTTCCTACGATTCGGGGAGTAGGAAGACTAGCGCTCAATTTTTTTCAGATTTTTTCGACTGCCCTGTTCGGAGATATGATTTTTTCTTTTTTTTTAATATATCGGCCAATTTTAGTTTATGATAGATGAGAATTTACCATTTTCGATCATCTATGATAAGAAGATTTTGAGTATTTTTTTGAGTCCCTAGGTCCTCACAATACCGAATGTAAAAAAAAATTGGAAAACTTTAATTTTCAAAATTATGTCATCTTTTATTTTTCTCGTCTTTTTTCAGTAGCTCTTACAATCAAAGCAAGTATTTTGAGCCGTCAGACAACTTGGGTTTCGTCCTGGATCTATTTCAATCTCCGCGAAATTGTTTATAAGCAATACGACTGATGAGAACCACATGTCCCAATTCGTCAGCTGTTAAATTTTCATATTACAATAAATGATTTGCTCATGTTCTAATTCCTATGCTCACTGAATAAAATTTTAATTATAATTACAATTCAATTCCTTGTAGAACACACGTTAGAGTGTGAATTTCTGGAATTCAATGTTTGTTGATACTCTGGTAAAAGTGCGTGCCCGCACTGTTATCAATTTTTAGTTAGTTCACACGGTAATTCAATTAATCTGTTGTTCATCTCATCAATATAATTCCGTGCTTAGAATATTGTCATCTCGTGTTTTCAGCACCAAATTCAAAATTAAAACTTCATTTAGAATATTGAGTCACAGCTTCTTTTTATTCATATCAGAAATTTTGTATTTGGATATCAATATTATTTGTTCAAAGTGAAAAAATCGATCACCATTCTCACTATATTGCATTCAGATTCTCCTATCCTTAACGTCAAAAACGTGAGATAATCTCATAATTCTAGCTATTAATTCTAATCAACTTTGTTCGAAGAAAACCTTAGTAAACGCAATATTAAGAAAGTAGAATTATTCTATTTTCCTCTGACCCAAATGATTTGGACAATTACGATTCGTTTATTCATGTTTCATAGAATGATATTCAATTCTCTTGTGTTTGTCGGGCTTCATGAAAATTCGACGCATGACGATTGTACTCATGAAAACCGTCTTACTTTCTCCATTCGTTCGACATATCCACCATGTTCAAGCTTTCATTTTCGATTCGACATATTACCCATGTTTTTTTTCAGAAAGAGAATAATCCCTACATATGTACATCTCCTGTATTTTCGAAAATTCGTTTTGGAATAATCGTCAATTCACAAAATCTCACGCATCTCCTTATTCCCTACAAAATTCTTGAAATTGTCTATCTTTAAAGCGCATGAAGACCACGCGTTGCGATACGAAACTATTTTACTACCGAGCAAACTGCCTTCTATCGACATTCTTCTAGATCACGGATGTATCAATCCTACCATTAAATAATCCGCTCCCAGACGATCGATGTTTAAACCCGCCGAGCGTTAATAATCCAATCACCGGATCGCGTTCCCGGAGGCCTTCCTGTCATATGGAAATGACATTATGCAAGTTGTTAAAAAAACCGTACCATGAAGTTTACTTCTACGCCTAATTTTCATGTAACAACACTATACAGCCACGAGAATATTCAGATTTACGGGCAAATCATGTGGAGAACGGCACCGTCGATATATCGAAGCTATGAGCAATTTTGTTGTCACCACAGCTGTGATTATTCAATGTTATCGCCACCGAGTAAGGTCGACGTACAATATTGTGTTCACAGTGATATAGTTCGGCCCTTGATGTGGAAACACAATGTGTGGCCTCTAGATTCTGTTTTCTCCATCAATTCACTAATTCCGGGATTTTTTTTCTCCCGCAAAATTTATCGGATCTTTTACCCCCCCCCCCCCTTTTGTTCCATACTATTTGTTTCCCGCAAATTAATTATAATTTGCCGACATTTCTTTCACAAAAACTCATACTAGCACTGATTTTTTCCCCTTTCAATTTCCGAAATCAATTTTATTTACGACGAAAACATTCAATATTTATTTTTTTTTCATTATAATTCTCAGTGGGTGGGTGTAATGTTGACAATGAAAAAAAAATGATGGTACAGCTGTTACAATAATGTTGAGAGGGGATAATCCTTTGTATTGTGAATGAGTGATGACTCAAGCCGGTGATATGACATGAAATGGATTTGGAATCTGTGAACTTTCGTATCGGATATTTGTTTTGATGAGAATTATTATTTAGGAGCTTTCTATTTTGTTTACTACCGGGCTTGGCTCCCTGCTCGCTTCGCTCGCCAGTCGGGGGAGGG